ACCTGGCGGGGGTTGGGCCAGACCCACCGACCGCGTGGTTCGCTTGTGGGCTGGTCGGGGTTCTCCTGCCGCACGTGGGACGGTGGTCGGCAGGACTTCTGGTCTGGGGACGGAGTACAGAATCCGCATACGGTTATGTTTATATTGGGGATTTAGTTTCTCGGTCGGTCTCATCCATGAAAGAGGCGACCAACACCTCCGACGGGATGGCCAGTGCCGCCGAAGACCACCCCCGCCTGCTCTCAATCCTGAAGGAGGACGAGCGGATCCTCCCGCCCACTCGTGAGCGCCTCCCCTCGACGCTGCACGCATGCATGCACGCATACACAGTTAGCTGTGGTTCTTCCTTGCGATCACCATGTCTTGATTCGTACGCCGTCGTCAGTGATGGTCACACGTACCTGCTCCATGGTTTCTCCGGCTCTGTTCTTCCCCAAGCTCTTGTACGTCCTCCAAAAACATGTGTAAAAGTAGCATCATAATCAATGCAAGACAGATAAATCAAAGTCAATCGAATAATTTTAGCAGTGCAAACCAAATCAAATCTCAAAACTCATGACATAGGGCAGACACCCGATCAAACATATTTGCAATAAGAGATGAAGATGATTTATCATTTGGGATGAATTCTCACTCTCTCAATAATGAATGAAGTAATATCGTGAATGGGGGGATAAATTGCTTCCAACAACAAATGAGGAATCATCCTAAGTCGATTCAATTTGAACATAGTTAAGTCCAACTTAGGTCAAACTATTTGAACCAATTTGAATTCCGTTTTAAGTCCAATTTAGAGGTCAATCGGTCATACATGGCTGTCAGGCCATCTCAATTTGGGCCGACTCAGCACAGTGTTGGGCCGACTCGGCACAGGCTCGGGTCGAGTCAGAATTCGGTCCAAGTCAGGGGCTGTGCAAGCCATCGGGTTGTCTCGGTCCGACCAAGTCCGAATCGATAGTCTGACTCATATCAGATTCGACTTTGGCCGATTGTGATTTCAACCTTGATTTTCTTTTTTTTTTCTCACAAAAAAAATTAAAAATTCCCATTAATAATTATAATAATAATTAAAATTTTCAAAAGAACCAAATTAAAGTTTTAATAATACAAAATAATTCGATTAAGATAAAAAAATATAATTTAATAGGATTCTAAAATTATTTTCATGAATTAAAAATATTAACAAATCAATTATTCCGAATTAGATAAAATTTATGAACTATTGAAAAAATCAGATGTTTAAATTCGGTAGTTGTCCAAAATAAATATTCGGAAATCTAAAATAAGTTTTATATCATCTAAATATAAAATTTACATTGAACTGTTTATCTCTCTGGATATTATCTTGTGCCTTCATGTTAAAATGAGGAGGGCTCTCTTCAAGGAGTCGGGAGAGAGGTTTATTAGGATTAGGAATCAGACAATTCTTGATTCGGATTAAAAAAAAATAAATTAATTTTAACTGTATTTTATTCCCTGATTAATATAGTTTAATTAGGACTCGAACTTTTTTTTTTGAAGATATCTGATCATAAAAAATCACTGAGGAATAAATATATATTATGAAATATATCTCTTTCTTATTTAAATATGAATTTACTGTATTTGGGGATTACAGTACAACCAGAAATTGTAAGTGAATCTTATGCACAAATCAAATCTCGAATCATATGATTCACTGGATTAATCCATCTTGCTGACAAATTTGTGGTCAATGTGAATGTTTCCAGGTTTAAGGTCAATTAAGAAGACTTAAAGGTTAAGATTCTTCTTCGCCAAAAAGGAACGGAACTTGTCGGAAGTTGTTCAGAAGTACGACTAAAATGGCATGCATAAGGATGGAAGACTAAAATGGTATGCAAAGTACGACTAACATAGCATAAATTAAATATTCTAGCATAAATTGATTTGATAGACTTATAAACTCTTAGTTTCCCTACTACTCAATCAATACGAGATTAAATGATCTTATCAAAAACGAATCACAATCTGAAACTTCTCGTCAGATGATCTGATTCTGGAAGGAAATTTCCACGGCCTGCAGCGTCCAGCACTGGATTAAGCAGTATCCTGCTGGCAAGTCTGTGGGTGGTCAATGTGACTGTTTCCGGGGAGTAAGGCCAATGGATATTCCAAGTTATAACGAAAGCTTGGCATGCCAAAAATGAACACATTTAATGGAAGAAAGCAACTATAGAGAGCAGATTCACTTGCAGTTGCCACCGTGGATGATACGAGATCTGTGCCTCGTCCCACCATTTGTACGTATCAGATCTGTCCTCTTCCACGATACCGCGGAATTAGATTCCCGACTACCATTCACAACAGCTGTTTTCCGGTTTCAAAGACCAGCTCGTCCTACGGTTAACCATCTGGCTGGGGCCGACCTCGGATGGACTTCACTTGGATCACCGATGACGACATGTCGGGGATCGTCCGCCCGCGTATCTACTAGTTGCCACCTATATAGACGGCACTTCTACTCCCCTGCGTTCGCGTTTAAGTATACCCGCCGTCTAAGCTCCGCGAATCCTCTTCACTCTTTTCCGCGATCCGAGGGTGAAATTTTCCGATGGCCAGCAGAGACACGGGGAACAACGCCGCCGGCAAGCAGCAGCAGCAGCACCTGTCGACGAGCAAACGGTACCGGGGGGTGCGGATGAGGAAGTGGGGCTCGTGGGTGGCGGAGGTGAGGTTCCCCAACAGCCGGCAGAGGCTGTGGCTGGGCTCGTACCGAACCCCGGAGCAGGCGGCGAGGGCCTTCGATGCCGCTGTCTACTGCTTGCGTGGGACCGGGGCGAGATGCAACTTCCCCGGCCAGCTTCCCGACATAACGCCCACCCATAAGCTGAGCCCGGAGGAGATACGGGCGGCGGCCATGCGCTTCGCACGTGATGTACCGACGCGGCCTGGGGAGGCGCAGGAAGGTGGCATGGAGACGTCGACGGAGACGGCAGTTCCGAACAAGGGGAACTCGGCGACCGTGACGGGGTTGCTGTCTGCAGATAAGCCAATCCCGGCGGAGAAACGGATCGGGGCCGTGCAGTTAGCCAATGAGGGTGAGAAGACGGCGGAGGAGGTGGATCAAGGGGAGGGGAGCTCGGGGACGATGGTGAAGCCACCGGAGGCTTCCAAGGAATTGCCATGGCCGTGGAATGCGGAGGACGAGGATACTTGGCCTGCCTTTTCTTATGATGATGACATTTATGAATCATCACCTCTTTGGAACTTCCGGAGCGCCGATTAATTATATAGATAGGAAAAAAAAACTCAACACGCCATATTCTAATTGTTGTATGTGATCTTGTTTTTGTACCTTTAAGTAGTGACCGAGGTATCAGTATAATTTGGCTCGTGTAAGATCTGATTACTAAGCTATTAAGTGTTAATCCATAATCTAGTTGAGGAGGAATAGGCCTCATTCTCCCAACGTATCGTTGTCTATAAAGACTAAAGATCACTACTTTAACTATCCATCGGGTGCATCGAAATCGGGAGGAAGATTCTCGACTTGACCCCTCTAGATGCTTAAGTTAGCAATAGTTAGCGATGGGAGAGTTAGAGTATGTGTGTGCGTGAGGCCCAACCCCAACGTTGCTATTCCTGGAGGTGGCTTTTATACATGTTCCTGCGTGTGGTCGTACATAGTAGCTTTAATGATTTGTGGTCATCATCGTACGTGGGCATTTAATGTGTGTTGACGTCGTAGGTGGCCAACCCATGCATTGAGTGTAGACGTTGTCTGATCTGTTCGATTTAGTCTTGTTTCGCATTGCTTCCCACCCCTATATGGCTCGATACATGATCACATCACCTCTTACAACCTCGAGCAGAGTGGGTCTAGAGAGATGATGTCAAAAGATTGGCTAGCCTATGGTGATGAGTTGACTCAGCACAACACATTGACTTAGGAACATCACGTTGAATCTATCACAACAGCTGATGTGACGCATAGGATGGATACCAAAATATGCTATATCACATCTCACGTCATATTCCTCACTTAAGTCCTAGTAGTAATAAAAGAAAAAAAACCCTATGATCAAAATTAATCATCTTGTTGCATCAAGAAGCACTTGATCATCATCATCATCATCATCTATCCTGATGCATCAACCAACGAGTGGTTTAATGTCATCATCCTATGAGTAATGGTGTAACAGAGAAGAAAGGAAAGTACAATCAACTTAAGGGGTCCTAATGCACAAACCCCTGTGTACAATGTACAACTCAGAAATTATGATGTGGGGATGTTATAAAACGTGGTTTACGGTCGTATCAGTGCCATATTTCTGGTTATCCAAATCGAAAACGACGTGAAATGTGGCCCCCAGAAGAAGGTATGAACAACTTTGCGCTGGTCAACAATTATATGTATCCATTTATACTTCACGTAGCCATCCGCGTGTACGATGTGAACACCGACCTGACGTCAGATAGCTCACGACGTCTATTTCTTCCCGGCGTGCATGACGTGATCAATGAGCCAACAGCACTACTTCCCGCACGTGAAAAGGTCCGATGGATTGAAGCTATTCAACGACCAACTGTCGCTGTTCTACTCGTCACTCGCATTCCAGACTCAAAGATAGGTAGGGGGACGCACCGCCCTCGGATTGGTGGTACTCCCTCGTTCGATGACACCGCGTGGTAGGATCCCAGCCAACCGTACTCCAGCTGACCGTTCGTTAATGTTACCGGTCGCCACATCACATCGCCAAGTCAAATTACGCTTTGAAGGCGACCATCGTCGCAGTTCAACCGGTCCCGCCTGCTGCTTCTGGTGGAGCCGCGGAAGATCGACGTTAAACGCCACACGTCAGCACGGGTATGAAGCGGGTGTCGATGAGTGGGTTCCTTTAGGTTACCGTCCACAGTATCTTCTGTGTCATTCGACCGCGTATTCACCATCTGCCACCTGTCCACGCGGCACTGTTCGTTTATCTGCCCCCTTATAAATATGCCCGTCATCTGATCCGTGCATCGCCCCGAATCTGTGGTGCCACTCGCTGCAGCGATCCGATAGGGAGAGAGAGAGAGAGAGAGAGAGAGAGAGAGAGAGAGATCTCCGACGTAACGGGAGGCGATGAAGAACACGGCCACCGGGGAGCAACATCCGTCGACGCGACGGTACAGGGGAGTGCGGCTGAGGAAGTGGGGCTCGTGGGTGGCGGAGGTGCGGTTCCCCAACAGCCGGGAGAGGCTGTGGCTTGGCTCCTACCCGACTCCTGAGCAGGCAGCGAGGGCCTTCGATGCTGCCGTGTACTGCCTCCGCGGGCCAGGCGCTGCGCTCAACTTCCCCGAACAACCGCCCCACATACCCTCGGCCAGTACGCTGAACCGGGAGGAGATACGGGCCGCAGCCGTACGGTTCGCTCATGACGTGCCTAGGCGGGCTGAGGAGGCACAAGGCGGTGGTGGAGAGGCATCGACTGGCGTGGTGTCTCCAGGGGAGGCGAACTCGCGAGCAATGGCGGAGTCGATGGAGGTCTTCCCGGCGTTTTACTTCCCAGGAGTATCGGGGTGGTGGAATGAGGAGGAAGAGGATGTTTGGGCTGCTGCCGCTACTGCTTCTATCGATGACATTTATAGATCATCACCTCTCTGGAACTTTTGAAGCCCGTTCTTCAGACGGAAACGTCGATATATTTATAGTGTGTGTGCATCTAAACAATTTTGGAGCTTGAGAACCAATGTTTTGCGAACATACTCGTAGATTTCAGAAGAGATGTAGCAGTGTCTCTTTGTCTGTCGAACATGCTCCTTCTGCTCATGATACATCTGAGAGTACTAATTAGTAGACAAAGTGGGGTCAAAAGCTCTACAGATGTGCGACTCAAAAGGGACCATATACCAATTCCCAAAAGGACACATTGCTCGCGTCTGCAAGTGTTAATATTAGAAACCGAAACACGCACATGGTCTGACTCCGGCGACAGGTGGCCGCGGTATGCAGGGGAAGAAGAAGAAGAGGTGACTTAATGGACAAGAAGTGTGAATGGAGAACATTGACATATGTAATGGTTTAGAGAACATCTCATTGACTCGATTTCTGTGGTCACTTAATTACCATTTGCTCCAAAACATCACGAGAACAAGACTTCTGACCTCAACACCCCGAGCTTTCCATCATCGCCGCTCCGTCGCAGGCACAAATCGCAAGAATCGGTCGACGATTCAGGAACGCTAATTCCTGACGCGAGGGAGGCTGCCACACCTCACGGCTGCGGAGCTTCTGCAGGGGGTTGGACGGCATCGCGACCCCGCTTCCTGGACGTCATAGGGAGGCGGAATCGCCCGCTCTTCGCGCTCCTCCTTTGAGAGGAGCAGGCAAGGGAGAATCGAAGGAGGAGATGACGAAGGAACTGAGGAAACAGATGAAGTGAGAGCGAGAGAGAACTCAGAAGACAGGAGTGATGTGGGGACAGAAATCGTCGGTCATGTTCTCTACCTCAGAGCATGCCACATCACCACAAGGATTAATTGTGGGAGTTTTCACGTACCTATCTCTGAAAATAGCATATTTACTCTGCAAAGAACAATGTAGGATACATATCCTTTCAAATGTCAATGATTCTATATGTATTCCTTCCATTTAACTCCGATTGAAGACATCAGATTAATCAATATTAATGATGATTGTGTGTTACTATTTTTCGTGGAAATTGTGTTTATAAGGTAGAAAACATGGAGTTTGTACAAGCCTAAAAAATGAAAGTTTGTACAACAGAGACCTTGAGGAAGAGAATTATGAAAAGAGAAAAAAGAAAGAATTGTAAGCATAATAATCATAATTATTTTAATATGTTATATAAAAAAATTAATATCAAAAATTAAAATAAAATTTATGATGTATATTTTTTGATGTCATTCAAAAAAATTTTATTTGATCTGCAAGTGCAGAGCGATAGATTAGGAACTAAGGGAGATTGTGACTGGATCAGTGATCTTAACAACTAATATTTCGTCTCTAGAAGATCTTATTCTTTTATAGATGAGTCTAGGATGATAATTAGGAGAATCTCATATCATCTTCTAGGGAATCATTCTATAATTGAATTTTCTTTCTATTGACCAATAATCGTTATCAGAATTTAAGCATATCTATAATATATTTGAGTCACGTAATATGACATTCTCACACATTAATTGGTAAGATATAAAAGAAATTTATGAATCAAAATAAATAAAATAAAAAATTATATAAAAATAAATTTATTTAGTTAAATTTTAAAAATTTTAAAAAATATTTTATGTATGCCATCAACATAGTGCAATCGTGAGCCACATGACATAGCCCATCGCTGACCACCAATGACATCGCGATTGTCGCTTACAGAACCACCGTAACCGCCACACCCCTTTCTGTCGTGGCACCTTTTCTCGATGCTCTAGCGATCACCGCATAGCCATTGAGAATCATGACTTTCGGTGTTTGGTAGACACCAACCGTGACTAGCAAACGTTATCATAATGACATTGTTGTAGCCATTGTATGCTACAACACTATTGCAATTGCCTGCAACTAAGGCATTGTTGCACATGTTGCACTAAGCACTACTGCAATCAAAAGATAATCATGATCAAATCCGATCAAAATATTTGATTGAAATAAATTAAATTAGTCATTTTATAATTCAAAATATAAGTGTAAAATTTTTATTTTTGAAGGGTAAAACTATATTTTTGGGATATATAATAAAAATATCTAATTTTTGAAAGGTATAATTAAAAAAATAAATTAAAAATATACATATTGAAATTATCTAGTTCTTGAGGGAGAAAAATTATATTTTTAGTTAATAAAAAAGAAATCTAATCTTGATTGCCCTCATAGTCGTTGTTGCATTCCATTACTACCACACACATGAGTCTCGAGGTGGTCTGTTGCTTGTGCGTTACTGGTTATTACTGCGGTGAATGATGATTCTCACACTACCAACCATGCGACTAAAATGACATCTCTACCATCATTTGGCCACACAAGTTACCTCTACCAACCGTGAGCCATACAACACAACTTGTTGTCGACCCCCGGTGATGCTACAATCATCGCTTGGAACAACATCATAACCATCGCACCCCATTTCATCGTGGCACCCTTTCGCGACACCCGAGTGATCACTGTACAACCGCTAGGAATCATGGCCTGACATGCCTTTAGCCTCATCTATGGATAATCTGTTTCATCTTAATTTTCTCATCATATCTAATACTAGGTCAACTATTATATCATTTTTTGTGTATGACGAAATAATTGACTTATTAACTAACTTAGTGAACCTAAGATCATATGATATAAAATATTGAATACATCCATCCGATCCTTGTAAGTGAATCTAAATCTTTACCTATATTGAATGTGAGATGAAATCAAAGTATTTTAATTTCTTTCTATATTACCAATTACCTTCTTATGCTAAAGTGATCAAGGTCAATGTTAATATCAACATAGCAAAATTAATAAATATACCAGCATTGATGTGATCAAGGTTCATGCTATGATGGAGACACAAATCTTGAGACACGAGTGATCTTTGATTGAATAGTGATGAATTCATTGAACATGAACAATACAAAGAAAAATGTCTCCAAACTTTCAAGTAACAATATACAAAGAGCTATGAAGCGATAAATATACAAAGAGCTAGAAAATAAAAAAAAAAATTTTAATTAAAAATATATATATATATATATACAAAGAGAAATCTCAAACTCTGAAGTGATAATTGAGCTAGAAAATAAAAAGATTGTTTCTATGAATGCAAACAAAATTTCCCACATAGGAAATCACATCACAAGGTAATGCAATTTGGTGCTTTTCCAAGTCTTTCACTCTCACAATGTTTCCACAAGAAGAGTCATACCAAACAACACCTCACCCTACTTTGGGTGACAAAAACACCCCCTGAATACTTTATGTAATCAATGTGTAAAGCAAGTCAAGTGTTAGGTTGGTGGAAGATGGAGGATTAGCAAGGGATTAGAATGACAAGGCACTTCAAGGCTAAAATGCTTTTATGACATGATTGGGCAACAGATGAGGAGTGAAAGAGAATTAATTGGCATCACCTCCTCCCCAAAAATGTTCTTGTTTTCAACAGCATGATGCTACTTGTTGCCAACTTATCATTGCCAATATAACTACCAATTCCATGTACATCATCCATAGCATAACTTGATGTCACCAATTAACAATCAACCAGCAAAATTCATGCAGTTTAGTAATTAATTGAAGCTATTAAAAACTAAATCATTCCTCATGTAGAGACAATTTTTTTCTTATTATTAAAATTGTTTTTGCCAATGACATAAATAATTCACAAATGGAAAGGGTGAATATTTCAGTCCTCAATATGTATGTAATAAATCTAAAGCTAATCCCCATAATTATTAGCTTGGTAAAAATCTAAATCTACCTCCAAAATTTAACCACTAAATATGTGATTGTATAGAGAGAATTACTATTTCTTATTTGATTTAGTTCTTTTTCTTTAGCTTAACAATCAACTATATGACAGATAAATTAAATTATATATATGTATATGATTATGCAAGTCTAATTAACCATAAATAATATCATATATATATATATATATATATATATATATATATATCTA